ACACAAATTGATTGGCGGCAAATGGTTTAAATTTCTGCATAATTCAATGCGCACGCGTTCTGGTTTTAGTTTCGGCAATTTTCTTCTCCTTTTTTCCAGCATTCACAGCTGCAGAAAATGGTCAAGAAAAACTGGTGGGAAAAGGTAGGGGACGATGAAAGGGGGAAGTTGTTGGGCCTGCTCCGATTCGCAATCATTAAATAGACGACAGGCTAAATCGAAATTGCAGTGCCAAAGTTGCCGCCTGCTGTTGCAGCAGTTATTTTGTTTTCAAAACAGCGATGGGAAAAAAATTGTTTACAATGTACCAGGCACATAGTACTACATGAATATCAAAAAAATCATCTGTACCTAATACAAATTTGTAAAGTTATAATGAATTTAATTATTCTGAATAAAATTGAATTGGCTTAATAAAATAATCCATGAAAATACAAGAATTAGTAAACTTTAAGACATAATAATAATTTATTAAATATCCTGGCAAAAAAGTTCTTAATATTCATTCATTTAATACCAGACAGTTGTAAATACAAGTACCAACTTGGCTTAAACAGCTGTTAAAGTTTTTACTAAATTTTTATTATATTTTGTTGGAGTTACAAAATTCGTTCTACAATTCTGACGAGTTTTATTTTCAAAAGCTAAATAAATAATAAATAACAAAAAGATATTCCGTTAGGGACAGAACATTTAAAAAACACAAAGGGAGAGTCCTATAAAATTAAATTAAAATTTGTAAATGCATTTTGTGCTAAAAAAGTTTAAGCAATCAAATTTATACTTGTAAGATATATGATTAAAAAGTAAACACATTTCATATAATTCATATTTGAACAGTTTTCTAGCTATTCCTATATAATACTTTAATTTTATAAAAAGGTATGTAAATTAGGACTAAATATATATTCAATTAATGAGTAATGCTACTTATTATCATTTATAAACATTCTTAAAGGGCATTCAAGATTAAAAATACATTTTGTATCAATTATATTTAAAGGCACTTTTTTGTTATGGTGAAAATAAATTTGTACCTGGCTAAGGAAAAACATGCCATGTTGATTTGTACCTTGATCCTTACCATCACTGATTGTATGTTACTGTTGCTGTTGTCGCAGGGTTGTTGGGAAAATTTGAAAATTACCTTTAATCAGAGCGAAAATGAGATGGCTAATTTGAGTGTGCCGGAATCGGAATCTGGCTGGAAAATGGAAAATGCCGACTGTGGGAATTGCCGTTCTTGTCATTTCGGTCAGTGGGAAAACTTTTTGGCGTGGGTGGGCAACAGGGAAAGCAGCTGTGCGTCGGAATGTCCCCCCCTTTTTCCTGTTTCTTTGATCCCAACTTGATGAGAACTGGACTTGGTTCACATAAACAAAAGAAGTTGCTAGCCGTGTTATGCAAAATTGCCACACAGCAAGAAAAGTTTAGTGTTCTTTGGATGTCTGCAATGCCTTGCAATTGTGTCGAGATGCAGAAATAACAGGCGCATATTCTGGATCTGGTTCCAGATCAATGTTTAAAAAATTATAATTAGCACGAAACTTTGGGCCTTATACATTAAGTTTTAGCTTAAATGTAAACTGTCGATTCATTTTAAAAATAGAATTTGCTAAACGATCCTGACTTTGTCTTGGAACAAAAAATTATGGCGTTCATTGTAATATTCATCTGCCTTTGCAAAAATCTGGGAATTATTAGAAAAATCACCATAACTTTGTTGTTTTTCAACATATGATCATAAAACTAAATATGTTCGTTTTATGATTTAAATTTTAAAAATCGGAAGACTTTTTTATAATGCTGCCATAGAAATTTTCGTAAATATATAGGAAAGGCGACATATCTATATTGTTTTTAAACATATACTGGTATATCTCAAAATAAAAAGTCGTGATAAAATTTTATAGAATACTGCATTTTTGTTATGCCTGGAATGCCAGATAAAAATCGGTTTTCTAAGGTTAGCTTCCTTTTATGTTGGGATATACATACATGTATGTATACTTGATCTGGCTAGCAGTCGGAATTTTACTTTGTTGGAAGCTTGATCAATTTGTCGAAAACTATCCTGTTGACAGTTGATTATCACGTGGTCGAGAGTGATCTGAATTTCTTTCTGTGCAGGCAGAAAGAGAGGCAGCTAGCACGCGTTTCGCCCGCCTGTTTTGATCTATGAGCTGCGATTACGAGGCGCAGCTAAAAGCTGCACAAATAAAGCGCGGCGATCTCCACAAGTTGATCCCCAAGTGAGGCAGCTGCTGCTGCTTTTTCCGATGCTGCCATCAGTTGCAAATGATGATGAGGCAGCGGCAACAATAACAACCACAGCCACAACATCGCAGCTCAGGCCAGGAGGCCATGACAAGCGACAAGTTGTCGTTAGGCCCAAAATTAGATGCATTTTGTATGCCAGACATAGATCGCTAGCGAGAGCACAGAGCGCAATAGCTTACACTTGGAAAAATCCGTTGATCATGCTAAAAAATAAAGATTACTCTTAAAATAAGTTAAGTCTTAACCTCCTTTTTAAATTGGTTTATAAAACTTATTGTGAGAGTGTGAAATTCTTGGCAGCCAACGGGATTAATAAATACATACATAAATAAATAAGTATTCTTGAAAAGTGATTTTGTTTTATTTATTTAAAAATGTATTAAATACCCTTTTTAAATAAATTTGGTTTCATGACTTTTACTAGAAAAGATAAATTGCGTTCTAGTTAAAATTCATACAAAAATAAAAATACAATGTTGCAGAATAAACAACTTTAAAATATCGATATCAAATTCTTCGGTATATTTCTGTATTCCTTCGAGAAGACGAGGTAAATTTAAAGTTGCTACACACAAAAGAAAAATCTCAGACTTCCGAATTATTTAAGGTTGGTAATCTTAATAAAGATACATACTATTTTAATATGATTTAATATCTTGTAACTCCAAACCATAAGTTGCTAAGTCAGTTTTCCAGTGTTTCCATTCACCTATGTACGAAAGAGAAGGGTATATAGCTGCAGTTATGGGCTTAGGGTAAACATTTGGCGACGCATCAATGCAGCTGGCCAAGAGGAGCAACAACAACAACAGCAACGACAACACCATCGAAAACACCATCCACCAACAACAACATAAGCTGCGACTGCAGCTCAGAGCTTGTGGAGTGTGCAAATATTTTAGCAGCAATTTTCAGCTTAAATGCCTGCAAAACGAGGCGCATCGTGTGCCCAACAGCTTTTGGCGGCTCAGAGGTTTTTCTTCTTTTAAACTTCATAGGGCACGATAATTATGTCCAGAAGTTTACAACGACTTTCGATGCTATAAAGATAACTTACATATGTATTCTTGATTTGCATCAGCAGCTGTCTTTCAATTTACGGAGTAAAGTTTCTTTGGTCACTTTTGAATAAAGTAGTTAATCCTATAACTGACATACATATGTCAATACTTACTTCTTATTTAACGATCTTGTATATTTAAGGGGTTTACATTACATTATATTTAAGAGAAAAAAAATAATTCTTTAAAAACTATTTTAATATTCATTAGTATTCTTATACAAAATAATATCATGGCATATACGATTCAGTTTTTCAGAATATATACATCGTGATTATAATTACTGAACTCATTTTAAATAAATCCCCTCCTATACCACTTCATCTTTTGATCTAATCAATAAATATATCTTGTGAATAACCTTTTTCTTGTGTAACACTCAAATAAGGGAATCACACGCAAAAAGGGTCACTGATTTCGACTACCTGGCAATTAAGTAAGTGATATCTAAAATAGGTTACACATACTGTCTAAGTACTCCTAATCAGAACTATCGAGTGTAGCGGACATCTCTCGCTCTGAACTTCTCTCTATGGGGATCGGGTTCGGGGAATTTCCTAGCGTTAATTAGTAAGCGGCGTACACGTGATGACAATGACTCTTGCTATCGGTTCATAGAGATCAATGCAAAACAGATACCCAGTTCTCAGTTAACAGTTCTCAGACCCCTCATTGCGTCAATGTGAGTCGACCTCGAGGCGGATCTTCAGAAGATCCCTTAATCTTAATCAAGAGTTCGGTTTTATTTTGGTATTCCGCAGATTTGTCCCTGAAATTGTGCAGCAACCCCGTTCCCGATTCGGGTTTCCGTTATGCTCCGTTGTACGAAACCGTTGCGTGTTGATTGATTTTATGCGAATTTCTTATACAAATTTATTAACAATTCAAATTGCAAGTTGAAGTTAAAAACTCAAGGCAAAAACAACAGCAAAAGAGAGCACGGTTTGAAATTCAATAGCTGTAAAACTGTTTCGGCTTGTGTCTAGTCTAGCTTAGCTATGGCACCATCCCATGTGGTGAGTTCGTTCGTTTGTTCCTGTCTCCGATGTGAATTTACCTAAATAAAACTATTTTCTTTTTATCATTCTTTTGCACTAAGTTTTCTTTAGTTTGCTGGTTTTTGGAACTTCATTTTATTAATTAATTATTTAACGTCACTATTTCAATTTTTAAGATAGATAGCATCCTCAAAATATTATTATTTTTGATTTGCACACAGACAAAGAATTAGAGGCTATTAAAAGTTTTAAATCTTTTGTGATCATATTTTTGATTATGAGCTATTTAAAATCAGCTAATTTTCAAAAAAAATTCGTAAAATAAAAGGTTAAAAACTCCAATTGTTTAATAAACCAAAAATGATTTCGAAACCTTGAAAATCTTATTTTATTCATACACACAGAGAGAGATTAAGAAGGGGACCAAATATTTTGTGAATTAAAATTGGAGCGTATTTTTAGCATCTTTAGGTCAATGTCTTACTGTTTTGCCATCTCGTGTAGAGATCTGCCACAGTCTCCTAAACTTAACTTGCCTAAACAATCGTGTGGGACAACGCTCCAGCTTAGCCCCATGGTCCAAATTCAAAATTCAAACAATCGGAAAATCACAGGAGATTTTTATTCAGTGTATATATGTATTGTAGTTGCCTTCATACATTAATACAACTACTTCTTTTTATTTTATTTTATTCTGATAATTTTCATATTACGTGCATTGCTTGGAACAACTACTTGTTTACGTATTCAATCTCTGACTTTTGGATCTGTTCAATATATTTGTAGTACTTGGTAGTTGCCTGCTTCGCACGCAAAGTGGCTTCACTTAAATCGTAAATAGAAAATGGGTGATAGTTGTAGGTGAACTTCCTTCCCTTTCCATCTACAAGCTGATTTTGATTTTGAACACACTTCCTGTGTATAAAATGCGGTAGTTTCATGGGGACCGGTGTGTCCATTTCCTGAGCATGTGAGTTATTGGCCTTGATATCGGATTTAATCAGTGCCAAGAGTCCGCGGTAATGGGTCCGTGGCCAATTAAGGATCTGGATTTTCTTTGCATTGTTCCCCAACACGGTCAACATTTCTTGCTGCCAATTGCTACGAAGGGAAGATGTGGGGAAGGTTTTCAGGGTGATGGCTAAAAGTCAAATGGGGTCGCTTACTAGCTTAGTTCGTTTCTCTTCTTGGATTTAGTTTTTCTATGATTCCTTGTTTGTGTCCCATGGACTTGACATTCGCAGCGCAGGCAAACTGTTTTTCAGTTTTTCTTTTCTGGCTTTTTCTTCTGCCAATGTCAGCCCATTGTCGAGCCGGAGGGCTTAAGGGAGCCGGGCTGCGCTTTTGATGAACTTTTAAGTGATTTCCTGGGAAAGGACTCCCGGGTGCCGTGCACAACAGCTGCAAGTAGCTCACCATGACTTTGGGGCTGCCGTTGGAAGTCGCTTAAACTAGGGCCTTTTATTTAACTTGGTACATTTTTCGCGTAAATTGAAGCTAAATTGGATGGTTTACGCGACTCAATTCTAAAAACAGAAGAAAAGCCTTAGTTGAGTGCCCAGGCTATTAAATAACCATTAAATAACCTCTGTCAAACTAATAAAAAACAAGTGTACCCCTAACAGACGCCGCCTCATTTACTTCATATATTAAACTTAGTTTCTTAATAACTTTTGACAACAGACCATAATCAACCATCTATTTGGAAAAAAAAATTTTGCGGGATGGTCCATGGGGTATATTGCGTTACTAAAAATTTCCAAAGCACATCCCAGTGCACTGCATCACATTGCAATGTGAGGTCCGCGTGTGACAATTGTGCTGACAATTGTGCTGACACTTGCACTTTCCGTTAGCGACTGGTACTCAGAATTTATTATTATACCCGTTACTCGTAGAGTAAAAGGGTATATTGTATTCGTGCAAAAGTATGTAACAGCTAGAAGGAAGCGTTTCCGACCCTATAAAGTATATATATTCTTGATCAGGGTCACTAGCCGAGTCGATATAGCCATGTCTGTCTGTCCGTCTGTCTGTCCGTCTGTCTGTCCGTCTGTCTGTCCGTATGAACGCTGAGATCTCGGAAACTATAAAAGCTAGAAGATTGGCATTTTGCATGCAGATTCTAGGAGTTCCTACGCAGCGCAAGTTTGTTTCAAAAAGGTGCCACGCCCCCTTTAACGCCCAAAATCGCTTATATACGATTTTAAAAATTTAAATATTTCGGAAAAGTAAAAATGCAGTTTTATTGTGTTTATCAATACCTATCGAAATGTAGAAGAACTTTTTCAAATCGGACCATTCGTTAAAAAGTTATGCATGATCAAAGTTTCTATCTCCATCTCCCTCGCACTCCCTTTACCTGAGTAACGGGTATCTGATAGTCGGGGCACCCGACTATAGCGTAATCTCTTGTTTTTTATTTGTTTATACATATGTAACAATGTAAATTAAAAGTGCAAATTAACTCATAACATTTCAAAAATAAAAATAAAGGGAAAATAATTTTAAGGCAGTTTGATAGAAACAAAAATCTATCCTGCTCACTTCAGTGTTTTTTGATAGTATATGGTGTCTATGGAGGCCAGTAGTTTCAAATCTATAAAAAATACTACCATACCACTAGGATGCGCTCTTTGTGATTTGGGCATTAGCCTTTCCAAGGTGAAACATTGATCTTGAAGAAGAAACAATTTTTTCAGCTCTACTCATTATTATAATTGGTGTATCGATACTGGCTAAACTTGTTACGGTAATTCCACAGGGTTCATCCTGAATTTCCACATCCTAAAAAACAAATGCAGTTTAAACAATAAAAAATAAATAATTCAAGATCAATAGTATTATTGATATTCGAATTCTTATTAAGGAATAAAAACTTATCCACAGCCTCTCTACAGAGAATCGATGTTTCACTCGATGTTTCTGAACCTCTAAGCTCTCATCTCTATTAGCCTTTCTGCGTAGTTCTCAGTCTGTATCGAAGTGTAAAAATGGGAACCCCAAAAAATATAGTTGATTTCGACAGAATCGATGTTTCTGCACCTCTAAGCTTCCATCTCTATCAGCCTTTCTGTAGTTGTCAGTCTGTATCGAAGTGTAAAAATGGGAACACCAAAAAATTTAATTGATTTGCCTTTTGAGGTTCTTGATTTGATATTTAAGAACCTTGACGAGTGGGATAAGTGGCCACTGGCGAGAGTTAATAATATTTTGGGAAAAGCATTTGCTTTTCATAGCCGAGATAACTATGAACGAATTTCGGTACACTATTGTTCATCCTTGTTTATAATGAGTGTGTTGCCATTATGCGGTGCAACTGTTCGCCATATTGAGATTGATAGCAGTTTTGAGGATTTTCGCATACTAGCCGATCTAGTAGTGAAGTTTTGCGATAATTTGCTGTCAATAACCATGGATGTAAGCTCTCGTCCAGATGATATCAGAGGTACAAAATGGTTCCTAAACACTGGGATAAAATTGAAATCAGTTGAGATTAATGTGCGCATTGACAGCAAGACCTTTCCGAAAATCGCCGGCACATTAAAAACACTTCCCGGCTTTAAGGGCTTACACTTAAATGATATTTATATGGGTGTTGGTAAGTTCGTTTCATTAAAAAAAACCGATTCAATTTAATTAAACTTTTCTTTTTCAGATCCTATTATTTGGTCTTTTTTAAATTTGGAGGCTTTGGAGCTTCATTTTGGACCCATTCAGAGACGGTATAATATTTTCGAACTATGCTCTCCACTAAAGAATCTTCGAAATTTAAAAATTTACTCAACGGAAGTACATTCTTCAATTAATATCGATGAATTTATTGCATTGGAAAAGTTTACAATTGGTCAATGCATTGTAAGCGCTCCAGATCTACCGTTTTTTAAAAATCTAAAAGCTATCGGCTTTGTAGATAATTTTACATATGTCGAGAACATGTTTTTTGCGTGGGTATTGAAACACTCGAAAACCTTAGAGAGCCTAAAGTTCAGCTATGAAAACATTCAAAACGATGATTTCTTTAAAATTATTAAAAGTTGTCAAAATCTTCGCTATATCGACCTAAAAATGGACATCGATAACCTTTTATCCAAGTCATTTATAACCAAATTGCTTGGCATTTTGCAAGAAAATGGAGTCACCCCAAATAATCCATTTCAATTGGTTACCAAAAAAATCACACACGCTGCGATGAAAAAAATTGTGAGTTACCAAAGTTATTTTTAAGTTGAAAAAATCAATATAAGTTTTTTTTTCAGATGCCTGACACACCGAATTCGAAATTGTTAGACTTTTTTACCTACGAGCATTAATGCCAGATTGGAAATGATGAAAATAATTAAGAACTTGTGTATCTGAATATATAACTTTATAATTTCAAGAATTATGGCAAGTTTGAGTTTTGTATAATTCTCTTACTTAATGTATTTTATTTGGTAAAAAGAATGTAATATTTTATACCTCCTATTTAAAAACGGGGTAAAATTCTAGGAAAGAGAATAAAGAATACCTGAAGTATGAGTCCAAATTGTAAAAGGACCATACAAAATGACTACATAGATTGTTTCTTAATTGAACCCCGATTCACTTCACCGCTATTTTCATTGGCCTCTGACCGGTTTTTATTACTTTTGGACAAGTTGTTATTGCGTTGGCATAACCTCGGCCAAACTCACCTTCTTCCACCAAACTAAACACTCAAGAGCAACTTTATTTTTAAGTGTACCAGAGACAAACTTTATGGAATGGAGAAGGGAACTTTTCCAACGCTTTCACTTCGTCCTCTGGCGAGTGTTTATTATTAAAAAATTTGTAGCCATTTGCTGCCCTAAAGAAACTTGGCTCCGGGGTTTATGGCCAAGTTGCGTGCACACGTGTCCATGAAAGTTGAGTTGTGGAAAACGGGGGGAGAACTCATGTGTGCGACTGCAGCATCCATGACCAAAGTGTCAGGGTCCATGAAAGGCGATTAGGGTCAACTGGCTTTGGCTAGTTGGCCAAGAGGAGTGAAAAGCCAAAACGAAAAAATCTCTGGCCACCTGTGGACGAGTATCATATCTTCTGGGAAGTTTGCCTCACCTAATTGGAAGTTGCGATGAATTAAGTTACAAAACTTCATTTGCAAAAGAGCATGTAGACTTCGTCCAGCAGCCTTCATTCTATATTCTGGTTAATTTTTTTTTCATTTTCACATTGATGCAGTTGACTAACTATAAAGTAACACAAAGACAATTAAACTTAGGGCTAAAGTTAGCAGGAAAGAAAGCGTTAGAGCTTGGGTTAAGTTCTTGGCAAAGTTTGCTGTATGCGTTAGTTGAGACAGAAAGCTGAGAGTAACAGAGAAACGTCACCAAAATCCCCGATTCTAGGCTAGGTAAACACAAGATTCGAACTAGTTCTTAGGGGCTAAACATATTCGTGGTCCGGTTGGCAGATCGCTGAGGTCGCTGGTTGAGTTTCGTTTGAGTTCAGTTGAAGTTTGGGGTTTCTTTTTCCACATTTTTGAGGGCCTACCAGTTCTTCGAGCGCCTTTCGCCGCTATTGGAACGCAGTTCCTCGCCCTCTCGCCGGTTATCCTCGCGATCATCCAGCCTGTCCAGCTGCCAGAGATCGTTGTTCAGCAGGCGACGTCCGTTGGACCAGCTCAAGGCAGCTCCAGCTCGGGCGGCATTGCCGTTCAGCCGGGTGGTTATCAATCCATTGAGGTTTCCGGACTCCAGCAGCAGCGGCGAACTGATCAGCTGGGCCTGAACGGTGGCACTCGAGGGCTGGCTGAGGATCAGCGGTCGGTCACTGCGGTCGATGGTGATCCGTGCGTTGGGCAACTGGCGCCAGGCCTCCAGATCGCGTTCCCTGGTCAGCAGAGTGGTGGTTCTCGAGGAGCTGGTGGTGGCGGGCAGGCGGGAGGCCAGCAGAGTGGGCGGGTGGGAGACGACGGTGGCCTGGATGCTGGGCAGGCCCTGGGCCAGGAGGAGGGTCTGCTGGTCGATCAGTCGCTGGTTCTGGCTCTGACGACGCTCCGCTTGCTGGCGGCGCTCCTCGCGATCTCGCTCCCGGAGTTCCCGATCCCGGAGTTCCCTATCCCGCTGCTCTCGCTCTCGCTGCTCGCGTTCCCGCTGCTCCCGATCCCGCTGCTCCCGATCCCGCTGCTCGCGATCCCGCTGCTCCCGATCCCGCTGCTCGCGATCACGCTGCTCCCGATCCCGCTGCTCCCGATCCCGCTCTTCGCGATCACGCTGCTCCTGGAGGCGCTGGAGATCCCGGAGTTGCTGTTCCTGCTGCAGTCGCTGTTGCTCCTGCTGTTGCACCTGCTGCTGGAACTGCTCCATCAGTTGCTGGGCCTGGTTGCGGGCTTGGTTCTCCGACTCGCGACGACTCTGGGCCTCCAGCTGCAGTTGACTGGCCTGCTGGGCCTCGGCCAAGGATTGGGCCTCCGCGATGGCCTGGGCCGTGAGGCGGGTCTGCAACTCCTCGAGGCTGTTGAAACGCGAGGAGGTCGAGGCGGAGATCCTTTGCTGCTGCTCGTCCAGACGCTGCTTGGACACAATGGCATTGAAGCCACTCACATCGTCGGCGGTGTACTCCACGATGCGACGCGTGCCATCGGGCTCGATCAGGGAGTACTGACCCTTGACCAGGTCGCCATCCCGCTTCTCCTCCTGCCTCTTGTCGTCGCCGGTCAGCGAGTCCCTCACATCGTAGGCGAAACTGTACTGGGGGCGACTGTCGTAGTCCTCGCTGGAGTTGGGTGCCAGAGTGGTGGCGTCGTCGTCATCATCGCTGCCATCGTCTCGGTTCAGATCCCCACGCAGTTGTTGCTGCTGCTGCTGTTGGAGGCCGGAGGATTTGGCCAGCTGGCTCAGATCGATGGGGCGCAGGAAGGCCGAGTTGGCCACATTGCAGGTCAGCAGGCTCAGGCAGAGCAACAGGTATGTCTGGAATCAAAGGGATTCACATTCACGCAGGATTCGAATTAAATGGCTGTCCGTTATAAATCACCCGTTGGCCTCATCAATTTGTCATTCCACAATGGTTTCCCTTTTCCCATTTCCCATTTCACTTTTTACTTGTTAGTTGCAAAGGGCCATAAATTAAAAACGACAACAAGCGATTCATGTTGCTGAACAAAAAGTTGTGGGGATTTGTTGGTTTGTCGGACTCTATTGGCTGTCAAGTTTACAAAGATAAAAAGCTTAGCTGTCTGAAACAATACTACAAAATACACTGATATCCTGCAAAAGTTAATTGCTATTCTTAATCAAAATGTCCCAATCTGCATACATTTATAATTATTTAATTTAAAATCAGTGCTTAGAGTTTTCCTAATTTAGTTAATCTTAAAAGGAAGACAGAGCATTGAAGGAAACGCAAATCTTTTTGAATACTTTATAACATTTTATCTAACTAGTTCTATTTGTTTTAAACTTCTTGTCTTAAAAATAACTCCTATTTATCCAAAATTAAAAGTCTTAATAAGACAGTCTAAGTTTAAGTTGAAGTCCTAAGCTGCTATGGCTCCAACGAAACGTTAGCTCTTAGTTTAACACTAACTGTTAGCTTTAGATAAAGAAATAAAAATAAATTAAATTGAAGTAATCAGAATTGAGAATAACTCACATTTATCCAAAATTAAATGTCTTAATAAGACAGTCTAATTTCAAATAATCAGAATTAAAAATCATATATGTTATATATTAAATTCCAAAATAAATATTGCTATAAATACAATTATTAGACAACGTTTATAAAACCCTAATTAAAAACAAAACCTTCTTAAATGTTTTTTCCTACCAATATATTCTTATCTTTGATTTGTGCCCCAGTTTTTCAAGAGTGTTGAACCTTCTGTTGAATTCTATTTGGTTTATGTCATTTCACTGGTCTTTTAAATTGGCCTAATACGTTTTGGTCCTTATCGTTTTGTATTTTTGATTATCCTGATTTATGGCCCCAACTTCCACTTTGCCGGATTTACATGGCGGCAGAACAACAATGGGCTAGCTGGGAAAATTTATGGCCGGCAGTGGTTGACGGAAAACTTACCCGTTTCATGGCTGCTGACGTTAAGTATTCGACTAGTTGGTTGCTGGTTATTTGTTTGGCTGCTGTCGTTTGCTGCTGTTGGCGAACTGATGCCACCTCCATCGCCCACTGGTCATTTTATAACGGCCGGAAAAAGGGCCATCGCCAGAACCTGACCACACCTGATATGCCGGCCCCAGCTTTCAAATTTGTTTAGTTAAGGTTACAAATGACCTTCCCGAGGCACAGATACAGATAAATTGGAGCCTGCACTGCAGCATTCACTTTTCAGCCATGGCTTCGGTGGCAACACAAAATTGTCACCCACTATCCCAAAACCAGAAGGGAAAACGGAAAAGGGAAAAGGCAGGAAAATCAAATCGGCTGGCGCTTATGAAAATGGTCAGCCAACATTGCCTACGGAAATTGCAAATTGGAAATAGGCCTGCACCGGAGACAGTCTTTGTTGCGCTTTGGTCTCATGAATTTGAAATTTTGTAATCCCTCATTCGTCCGAGCTCCGATTGCAAAATGCTGCAAACAAGGCGTACGGAGAAACAAAAAAGAGGAAATTTGATAGCTGGCCATAAGTAAAAGAGGCGCCAGGCTGGAACGGTCACGTTAATGTACTTCCACTGTAACCAGGCACACTTTATCGATTATCTCGATTCATTATCCGACAGGTTTTTCATCTTGCGTAGTAACGAGAGCCCTGGCTCATTTGTTGTCTTTTGCGGAGATAGTAGGAAGTGGAGAACTGGTCAGCGGAAGTGGGTTTTTGGGTGGGCTTCGTCTGTGGTTGTTGATGTTACGCAATGCAGGTGACTTACGAAATTGCGGAGGTCATTGTGCTTTTGGTAATCAGTGAATTTTAGTCTGAAATAAGGTTTTGTCAGTTTCATTATATTTAAGAGTGACAGAGAATAAGGCACAAATACCTTGTTATTTCTAATTTCGAACATTCTAGCAAAATATGAAAAAAACGAAAAGAAGAAAGAAAGAAAATAAATTCAATTGTTTATATCAGGCTTATTTTCTTCAGTTTTCAAATTTCTTATATGTAATTTTAAAAATGGTCTTATTGTTGCCAATTGAAATCAAATACTGATACTTGAGAAGTTTGATTGTTTATCTTCATAATTAAATATGATTTTATATAAGCAATTCTTATTTAAAATAATTTTATTTTTTATTGGTCATCATAATAAGAATTAGGTTTTATTGTACATTGTATTACTGTATCAACACCTTATTAACACATTAGATAATCCAATAGATAGGAAACCAATTCAATTTGTGACATCAAAAGAAATTTAGCCAGTAATAGTGCTTAAAGTGCTCCTCCATGAGATACTCATGTATGAGGTAGACTTATTTATGGGGGCAAGATAACTCGGTTTAGGATGCGACATTGGAACTGGCGAGCGCGCTAACTTCATCAGCTGTAAAAACAAAAGTAGCGCCAACAACATCAGCCAGAACATCTGTGTCAGTGCGTATGAAAACAAAAAGAGTCCTCCATCGTGAGCCAAACAAAGGGAGCAACAACAATAACAGGAGGCGAACCAAGGGAAACCCAAAGCAAAAAGGCAACTGGCTGGAAAAAATTGTCATGCATGAGTAAAATACAAGAGTAAGAGCAGAAGTCGCGGTACACAGAGCATTTATGTTTAAGATAAGCATTAAAAGTACGATTTTTTTAATTCGATAACTTTTTTTGGAATTATTTTATTATCATTTAATTATGCAAACGAAAAAATGAAATTCATTGGTATATTTTTAATTTTCTCCCTTATGAAAGAAGGTCAATAAATCTAATTTAAGCCTAAGCACTTTCTAATGACTTTTTTTATTGGTCCGCTTAAAATATATATTTTTGATTATTCCTTTAAAACAATAATTTTAGTTTAGTCAAACATATTTTTTGGACAGTGCAAAAACTGCGAAAAAAAACTGAAGGCCTGATCCGCTCTGTTATTCATGCCGTGGAGCATAGTTTTAGGCGCCGCCAGTTCGGTTGTCCGCCCAACACGCTAACATGTTGGACACTTTTTCCAACATCTCCTTTAGCACCCCCCCTCCAACCCCTCCTCCCCTCTCGACGGCTTTGTTTGGCTTTGATGCGCGTTTTCCGCTTGTTTTTTCCCGCTGGATGGGGAAAATTGAATGGCCAGCAGCCGACCGTCGGCCACGTTGTAATTGAGTTGGCCGCGTGGAATGGGAAAATAGTTCTGCCAATTCCGACGCAAATCGCAATGCAGCTGTACACGGAAAATCCCTATCCCTACGCCAAGTCAGGGCCAATTTGCCAGCGGGTAATTAATCATTTTTCACTTGATACACAAAAGTGCGCTCAACAATTTCTCAGAATTTGCAACTGCCAAAAGGCAATTAGACTCGACACATTTACTGTATTAGCGTTCATTAAATAATTAATTGCAATTGCCCCTCCGATTTCAATTAAGTTTCTTGTGTTCGCCAATAGTGCTTTCAATTGGTTGAACTGATAAATTGATGTCTAAATGATTTCAGTTATATAAACTGGGCTATTAAGGTGTTTTTTTGTTAGCTGATAAAAAAACAAAAAAAAATGTAATTGACAAAAAGAGTTGGTTATAACTGAATATCTGTGATTTATAAGAATTAATCTTTAATTATAAAATTAAAATGGATGGTGGATATGGATGGACATTCAAGACTTTTTTTCCACGTTAAAGGCTGTTTTTCTTTAATATTTCTAAACAAATTTTTGTAAATTCAAAATGTAGTTGTTAAGGAAAATTAAGTCTTAGTATTTTAATAGAAAAATATATTTACTTTTGAATAATTTTAGACCTTGTTGAATAAAGTTACTAGCGTACAAAATATTTTGACTGATACTTTACCTAAACCTAAACAGTCGCCTTCAAATAAATATTAGTTACTGACATTGAAATGCAACAGAAAATCATAAAGTTCAATATTTTCCCCCTGTTATTTGGCAAGTTATTTGCACAAGAGTTGTATCTAGCTATTTGCAAAATTCGGAAACTTGTACAAATCCATTCCTAGCCATTAAAAATGCAGCATTGCATACATTATCACTGGGCTGCAGCATATTTTGTTGACTTTTGTGGAATATTCTGAAACAAAAACAGAGAAGAAATGCAACGAAAATGGTGATTGCTTTTGTGGGGCGTCTACATTTTGAATACCGCAGGGCTCGGCAATCAAATTGTGTTTTTCGGTCAGAGACAGCAACTCAATCTGCGGCAGGATGGTGACCAGGTCGCAAATCTGCTGTTATTTACAGGAGGGGCACGGCTTCACTCCGATGTCACCAATGCCAAAGCTCTGATTGAGTGGAAGCCTCTTCGGGGGCTTTTTAGACAGACAGTTGGGCCTGGTTGAGTGTTTCAATTTATTTTTCATATTTTTGTTTAACCGCTTTTTGTTTTACTTTCCTATTTCAGTCGGGGCTGAATTCCCCCGTTTCGCGCACAAATGCCAAAAGTTAAAATAAACAGGGAATCGGCAGGAGGACCAGGAGCAAGGAGCCAGCAGCCAGGACAACATGCAGGAAGGCAGGAAACACTTGAAAAAGTATGCCAACAATATTTCTACCATCTCTCGGCTCGGTGTCTGTGTGCTTTTGTGCTATTGAAAAGGAAATGAATGGCAGGCAGAAAAAGTTAAATCACCTCCAGCAATTGGGCCTGCTGTGGCTCCCAACTCTAGGTGGGTCTACTGGGTGGTTGGATGGTTGGGGGGTTGGGTGATGTGGGTGGCATTTTGAGTGCTGCTCCCTGGGGTGGCGTATGCGCAATATTCGCGCTTCGGCCTATAAGCTGCGGCCTGAGCCCCGGCATTTGTCGCATTTTCTACTGTTTTCTGTGTGCTTTTATTTTATTTTTCGCATTCTTTTTCGATTTGGTTTTGTTTTTCGATTTTCTATTTGCCGTGGGAAATTGCTTTCAATAATGACGCAAAGTGTTGCTGGGGGGACATTTTAATGGCTGCTTGCCCAAGCAACGCGTTCGAAAGATAGGAAAGCGCCGTCTGCAGGCGACAAATTGAACTGACACAACCCCTTGTCGCACTTCTCACATTGAGACAAATTCAATTCTGAACCGAGCTCTGCAATTTGGAACTCATCCTTTAAACAGTTTTTAAATTACAAGAACAACAATATAACTTATATATTTTTTTAAGAGAAACAAACCGTTCTTAGTTGTCATATTCGTTCAAATAAACAAATCTGTTTACTTACACATTTATTTAACCACTTAAAATTAACTTACTTAACTTGTTAAAATCAAAAAAAAAAATTAATTTATAAATTAGATTTATCAAATAACATTTTTGCTTTTCAAAAAAATATCTAAATAATATTAGCTTAAATATCTATGTTTTTATAATTAACAAAATTATTTTAAATTAGGAGTTTATTACAACTTTATCTCAGTGTACCCGCCATTGCTTCAGGCAATTTGTACGCACTCATCGTAGCTTTGGCATCAATAAATTGCCACGGGTGCGGTGCGAATCCTTGCGTGTCCTTGGTCACACCCCACCTCACCCCACACCTCCTCCTTGGTGTGTGTGCGCCTTCATTTGTCCGGCGCCTCCATCCTGGTTACTTATGCAGTCCGTTGTCCGTTGCTCTTTTCCGGAATGCAACGCCAACGGCTTATCCTCATTTGCGTTTCGGACAAAAAGCTCCAGCCCAGTGGAATATATTTATACCCTTGCTGGGAGTATTATAATTTTAGTTAAGAGTTTGCAATGTTGTATTCTTATTATTTAAATTATTCTTCTTATTATTATACCCCTGCAGAGGTATTAAATTTTATAACGTGGTTATTTTAAGTCCGCCTAGCTATAGTAATTTGTTCGATTGCAAAAAAACTTTTTTTAATTTTTCTAAATATATTCTAAAATTAATGAAATATTTCACATTACTTGCTTATTTTTTTAAAATATAAGATTTACTCGAGACATGGATATTTTTTCGATCGAAATATGTATCCCAGAAAGGGCATAACTTCATATTTTTTAAACAAACACCCATTAAACTTGTGACAAATAGTCTAACTATACATTTTTGATATAGCTGACAGCGTATATAAACTTCGGCTTGCTGAAATAAGATTCCTTTCTTGTTTAATATATTTTTCGTTTCCACGGCAGCACATCCTCGTTGCAACGCGGCTTTCCGTTTCGAGATAATATCTTGTCTCTTCCTTACAACATCCATGCCGATTCATTTTATCTCTTTCACAGTGGTTTTTTACAGACTTTAAAATTTCCGATAAGGATTAACCATAAAATCATATCCGCTGACACTCTATACTGGGCGTAAAATATGTTTTTATGATTTTTACTTTAGAAATGTCTAAAGATTTTTTAAGTTGATTTTTTCCAACAATAGAATTTTTCTTCAAATGTTAAAACCATTTGGTTTCATTATTTACATATTACTTAATTCTCATAATTAAAAATATTTTAAATTGAGAGTATGCCTAATTGTTTCATAAGCTCCACCAACTAACAGCAATAAGTTATGCAGTGAAAACATTTCAGAATTCAATTATTCCCGCATGGCAAGAGTTTTAATTAAAAATCAGCCATAAAATGTGCGTGTGAGCTCCGGATACTTAAGAATTGAACATCAATGCCAAGAGGCTTTTAAGCTTGATTAAATATCGTAAAAGAAAGGCCAAAGCATCGAAAAATATGTTTGGACCACGTTAACATCCAAGACAGCCATAAAAAGTGGACCCTGCCCTCTGGTCATAAGTCAATAAACAAAACAAAATTGACAAAATGAGATAATTCTGACATTTCCAAGTACTGAAAAGCCGGGAACTTAAACTGTTGATAAAGGAAAATTCACGGACAAATCGCAGTCCATGATAAATTTAATTCGCATGCATTTCTGTGTATTTGTTCGCTCTTTGGCATACATTTTATATTTTAATTACAACAACACAAAGCATTCAGATTCCATTGAGATTTATGCAAGGCTTACAATAACAAAATACGCAAACAGAAATCAGAATAAAAATTGTGTATACGTAAACAATTCATTTCGTTTTAATGTGCCATTGTTCGGCCGAAAAAGCAGAATCCGTGTGGCAAACTGTTTATTTGCGTATCGCGACGGGGCCAATTAATGAAATTTCAATTTCAGCGCGTTGATTGCTCCACTTTCGGCCAATTTCAGAGGGGGGCGAAATCAATAACAATACGGTTGCCGGGGTAGCCATTTAATTAACCATCCGCTCTATATACCTTTCACCCGCACCACAACGGCGAACAGGGAGTAGGCCATCTTTAGGGTGGCGAAAAAGGCATTTAGATTCAGCTCGATGAGGCCGCCCGCCTTAATGACCCGCCCCCTGCCCCCCAAGGTCAGTTGGGTGAAGACCAGCAGATCGAATCGGTGTTCGCGGGACTGGTCGTACCACCTGCTGGAGAAGATCGCGTACGGCAGGCGCTCCACCTCCTCGGCCACCTCGCTGGCGAAGTAGCAGCTGGGGAAGAGCTGGACGCAGACCACCCCGAAGAAGACCAAGTAGTAGACCAGCGAGATGGTGTCGCCCACGAAGAACAGCACGTAGGACACAATGATGCACAGGGTGGCCCCGCAGCCGCCCAACTGCACCAGCTGCACCTCGCTGATGGTCTGGGACAGCAGGTGGTGGAATCTGCAAGATCGAAATTTATCCATTTTAGTCATTACTTGTAATACCAAAACTTGAAAAGTTCGTCAAAGTACGAATTGAAAAATTTGCTTGTTTAAATGGATCAATGTGCAAAGTAAAGTAATTTGCTGCTGCATTTTAAACACTAGTGAAATGGTTATTATACCCGTTACTCGTAGAGTAAAAGGGTATATTGTATTCGTGCAAAAGTATGTAACAGCTAGAAGGAAGCGTTTCCGACCCTATAAAGTATATATATTCTTGATCAGGGTCACTAGCCGAGTCGATATAGCCATGTCCGTCTGTCCGTCTGTCTGTCCGTCTGTCTGTCTGTCCGTATGAACGCTGAGATCTCGGAAACTATAAAAGCTAGAAGATTGGCATTTTGCATGCAGATTCTATGAGTTCCTACGCAGCGCAAGTTTGTTTCAAAAAGGTGCCACGCCCCCTTTAACGCCCACAATCTCTTATATACGATTTTAAAAATTTAAATATTTCGGAAAAGTAAAAATGCAGTTTTATTGTGTTTATCAATACCTATCGAAATGTAGAAGAAATTTTTCAAATCGGACCATTCGTTAAAAAGTTATGCGTGATCAAAGTTTCTATCTCCATCTCCCTCGCACTCCCTTTACCTGAGTAACGGGTATCTGATAGTCGGGGCACCCGACTATAGCGTTCTCTCTTGTTTTACTTTGAAAATGAGTTCCTCTAACGTAACTTTGGCTTGTAAAGCAACTATTAGATATATTTGCGTTTTTAGTTTTTTACGATCAGGCGCTTATGATTCCCAACTGGTTCTAGCGCTCAGTGGACGAATGCCCGCAGAGAAATGTTATAACATTACTTTACAGTATCTTTCCGTAGGAAATCTTTACAAACTTCCATACTAACGAGAAACCAAGGGCACCCAACCCTTTAAAATCGTAATGTACTAATAAAAAAATTATTAGTAATTAGTAATTATTATTATCAGAGTTTACCTCATCAACAGTTTGTGCTGCTCAATGTACTCCTGCAATCGCTGATGATCGTTGACATTTTCTTCCTTTAGAAATCCCAGCTGACCCATGCGAATTGCCCACAAATGGAGGTGTCCACCCAGGAGACACAAGGTCAGGGGAGTGTATGTGTCGTTTCCCAGGCCCTGTAATCCTTCAACAAGGATGCTCAATATCTGATAGCCCAGGGCCGCAGCAGCCATAGATCTGTTCTGCTCCAAATCGAACGGAAAATAGGCGGGGTAAATAAGATCCCAGTTTCCGCTGATGATCTGAACGGAAACACCGAATAGGAAAACCGCGTAAACCATGCCAAAACTTATGTAGAGGCATCGCGTAAAGCGTTCGGCGTGACAGTGCACGTGATCCTTGTAATAGCGATGTTCCTGTTCGCTCGAAACAAATGTATCCAACTGCCCGATCAGGGATTCGATCTCCACGATCTCCGGCAGGTGATACAAATGGGCCACATGCTTCAGGCTGCAGGCCACACAAGTCAGAGACATGGTCAGGTTCTTCAAGAGGTCCGCCGGAGAAGGATGCACCAGAAGATGCAGCAAAAGGTGCAGTGGGAACCACAAGGTCACCAGGACATGCAGCACCGCTATATAAAACAGGACAGGACGACGGGAATCCTTGAAGAACGTCGGTACTAGCATTCGCATGCAAAACCAGAACGGCCGATAAAAACGAACACTATCGATGATGACCATTGTCCTTTTAATGAATATATGCCGGTGAGCTGGCTGTTTTTATGCAGCTGCCAATTAGGTTACACTGAGGCAAAATGTTTCACTTTAAACATATCCGATTTGAAAAGATTTCATTTTTAATTTTTAGCAGAAAGCTTGAAGACATGAAAAATATATGCATTTATGCTATTCAAGTCGGGTTTCCCTACCATGATTTACTTAATAAGTAAACAATTTGTAGTAATTAATTAACTATAAAGGATCATATTCTATTTTATTTAGAAGATGGCCAAATGATAGCAAAAATATGAAATTTCTTAAAATCGTACCCAATTCACGTAATAAATAAACAAAATATATATATTGTATATAATTAATTTTATTTAGAATTGTTTTCTATTTATTAAATAAATGTTATTTAAGACTTATATTTTATAAGGACTGCTGGTACTTTTATTGTTGTTTACCAATTTGGACAATGGTTCTTAAATTTGTAGAGAAGATATATAAAATTGGATTTATTTCCAAGTTAAAAAAACAAATTATTTTAGAATAGAAGTCCCAATTAACTATTATTTGCGGTATTGCTATTTAATGTATAAAATTCTAAGCAATATTTAAATGTTTTATTGAATTTAAAACTGTTTTGGTTTAAGGTGGTGTTTTTTCGAGTGCATAAACCACCGCTAAATGGCATTTAAACGATGCCAATGCAATTTTCATAAAGCCTCCGTTAATGGCCGCCATTAGTGGTAATTAAAATTAAGCGAGTATGCAAATGGGCTGCCCACTCATTATCGCAGCGACATGGCCAGTGTGAAGAAGGAGTAGGCCAATCGCACGGTGGCGAAAAAGGCGTTCATGCCGATGCCAATCATTCCACCTGCCTTTATCTGCACCTCTGTCAGGGTGAGTTGCATGAATATCAGCAGGGTGCGGCAGTACCCCCGATCCATTCCTATCCAGTTGCTCGAATATATCGCCTGGGTCAGCCCGTTCATCTCGATGGAAATCAGAGTGCCGTAATAGCAGCACGGGAATAGCTCCAGGATCATGGACACGAAGTACACGCCGTAATAGGTCACAGCAAAATTATTTTCCGCAAAGAACAAAATGTTGACGAGCGTTATGGAAATGTTGACGCCACTGGATATAAACTGGCCCAGCTGGGATATATTCATGGTGCTGCGCAGCAGTTCTACAATTCTAGAAAGATAACAAATTGGATAAAAAAATGTTGATCATGTCATTTACAGTCTCCGAAGCTCTCATAAAAATACGAAAGTTTTAAGTTAATGGCAACTATTCTTGGATAGTTTTAATAACACAGATTAGTTAATAAAAATTATATAATAATAATAATAATGAAATTATATTCAAACCAATTTAAAATATAGAAAGTTGTAAAGCTATACTAAATTACTTCATGAGTTTGCGGTGGTCCTCAATGCTTTCAATCAATTTCCTGGCGATTGACGACTTAGTTTCCCTTTGATCGTGGCCTATTTGGCTTAAACGCATTGTCAATAGTCTCACATGTCCAGCAACCACGCAAAATGTCATCGGCGGGTAGGAGTCATTAGCCAGATTCTGTAGAATAGCCAGACTTACACCGACTATTTGGTAGGTGACACTTAGCCAAAAACGTAGCTCTGAGGCCTGCACATCGTATGGAAACCAGGCCGGATACAGCAACTTATGTCCTCCGCCGAAAAGAACAGATGCTATGGCCGAAACATTCGACAGTCCATAGGCAACAATAAAGCTTTTCCAAATAAAATTTGCCTCTCGTCTTGTGTTTTTATCAAAGAACTGGCCTTCCTCGTAACTCAAAGCTCGCTGATCCAGCTCTTTGAACAAGACTTCTATTGTTTTAATCTCTGCCAACTTCAGACGGAAACAAACAAATTTAAAGCTTGCGAAAAAGCAGGCAGCTGTGATTGGTAGTCCTTTGCAGACATCCCCAAGTGTTCGTTCCATAAATAGGCCGAGAATCAGATGAATTGTATACCAAAAGGTCACGAAGAATGTGATCAGAATATCCAGCAAACGATTCAGTGCAAAATTGCTCTCCAAGCCCAAAAGACGCCAATATAGCCAATAGGCCCTGTAGATATGTTCACTTCTGATGACTGGCGATTTTAACTCCATGTTGGAAACAATTGGGCAATTCCTGCGGCATTTCCTTTTTATACTCGCAGTACAATTAAATTACAGACACTAATGTTCCGCCCACCAATTTGCTGGCAACATGATAACCCTATAATTTGGGTAAACCAATTCACACCTTTCCTTAAGTAACTGAATTAAGTTACTTATTTATTTGAGGACGTCCCTAAATGATAGCTAAGTCTAGCCATTCTAGGGTGGCAACGTAAATATATATATTGAGGTTGAGTGATAACATTTTATTGATTGACAATTTGTGCAAAAGTGTAATACAAGGATTTAGTTAAGTACTTTTTAGAAGAGAACGCGTGACATATATTTTTTAACCTTGTAGAGGTTTTTCCTTTTTGGGTTAGATTATTGTAAAAGAATACTTAAGGTACTGATTACCTTAGGGTTCTAGTGAATACTAAATAAAGTTCCACTTTACTCTTAGAATCGAAATGACATGGCTAAGGTGAAAAATGAGTAGGCCATTTTGACTGTGGCAAAAAAAGCAGTCATGTCGATGCCAACTATTCCTCCAGCTTTAATTTTCACGGGCACAACCGTTAACTCCATCAAAATTATCATGGATCGAATATATGCACTATCCATTCCAATCCAGTTGCTCGAGAAAATGGCATATGGTAAATTGTCGAACTCCATTGACATAAGAGTTCCGTAGTAACAACTTGGAAATAGTTCTATAAACATGGCCGCAAAAAACACAGAAAAGTAAATCATAGTAAAATGGTTTTCCGCAAAATATAAGATATTGACAAGCGTTATTGAAATGTTGATACCGCTGGAAAGGAACTGACCAAGTTGCGAAAGATATAAAGTGCTGCGGAGATGGTAAATTATTCTGGAAGAATATTAATGAGAAACCATTTAAATTATTAATAATATGATATAAAATATGGAATATAATATAAGAAATTAACAAAGTATAAATTATATATTATATTATTGAAAATTATTTTTAGATTTCCAAATATTTTGATTTTGAGTCAAGCGAAAAAATTATTAATGAAATGTCATAACCAAGATTATAAAACATTGGAAAGAAAATCTTATTTTGACAGATTAATTTCTTTTTTTTTTATTTGGTCTTAATAAATCGATTAAGATCAATAATTGGGAATTTATAGACTGTATATAAAATAACTTACTGCATAAGTTTCATGTGATCCTGGATGCCTTCGGTAAGTTTTCTGGTATTTTCTGACCTTGATGTATTCTTGTTATGTCCAATTCGACTTAAACGCATTGCAAATAGTCTCACATGTCCAGTTACCACACAAAATGTGATTGGGGGATATATAGCGTTGGCCAGGTTATGCAGGATCAATAAACTGGACCCTATAGCTTGATACGTAAAACTAATCCAAAAGATCAATGCGGTGGCTTGAACATCATAGGGGAACCAACCCAAATACATTAAATGTCGACCACTACTGAATAAACCAGCGGCAGTTGCAGTAATTATAACCAATATGCCGGCCACCAAATAACTTTTCGAAAGCATTTGGGCTTCGCGTTTTGGGCTTTGTTCGAAAAATGTAACTTCTTCTTCACTTTCAGCCCGCTTATCCAAATCCTTGAGCAATCTTTCAATGGCCTTAATCTCGTCCAGTTTCCAACGAAAGCAGACGAATTTCAAGCTGCAGAAAAGGCACTCTGTTGTGAAATGGAGACTCCTGAAGACATTTGTCAGATTCTGATTATATAGACCAAGTAAGAGATGCACGGGGTAACATAAAGTGACGAAGAAGCACATTATAAAATCCAGAAGCCATCGGCACCGATATTCCCCCTCGACTCCCAAAAGTCGCAAATAGAGCCAATAAGTTTGGTAGAGATTTTCACTTCTGACGACTTTAGGCGCTGACTCCATATTTTGAATACCTTACCAAGCATTGCAGCCGCTTCTGCTTTTATAGTTATTCTTTTAAATTTTTACCTAACCCTGGTAATTGCGGACACCATAATTACATTTAATTGCTGCCACCATAATTACATTTAATTGGTGCTAACTATTAAAATATGTGTGTATGGTGGGATAAAAACAGGAACTGTTTAATTTATCAATAATTTTATCGGGGACAAAGCCTGAACTGTTTTATTCTCCTGCAGAAAACGATTAGAAAGTGAACGCATCAAAGTGATAAAGTGTTTCCAAAGTGTTAAAGTAAAGACATTTAAAATTTAATATTTTATAAAACCACTATATAACGATTTTGATGTGTTGTTTGAAGTGGGTGGTTTCAATGCAGATGTGGTCAGAAATTCCAACGGAGGAATGCGAAAAATGATAATTTTGTGGTATTACGAGACGTGAGGGTGTTCATCTTTACACATGTAAATCGGAACTAACTTGAGCTAGCTAAGCTAAAACTCTCCAGACATTCGTGGCATTCGTGGGACAGGGGGGAGAATTGGGGAGGGCGAAGGAACAGAAGGAGCGAACGGGATGGAGACATCTGAAGAAAGTGCCGTAACTGACGTCTCTAAATTATATCTCAGTCTGGCAATTCAAGGGTGGCAACGTAAATATATAATTTATTTATTTATTTTAATATATTTAAAGGTTGGGTGATAACATTTTATTGATTAATAATTTGTGCAAAAGTGTAATACTAATAAATTTAGATATAAGTACTTTCTAAGATATAACGAGTTAATATTTTTAAACCTTGTAGAGGTTTTTCTAATTTTGTTAGAAGATTGTAATAGAATGCAATGTAATTTATGCAAAATCATTCGACTATAGATTTCAATCTGCAATAACTTTCATTTGCTTGTTTGTAGATTGTTAGCTTTTACAAGTTAAATTTTATTTTTATTTAGTGTTTCTTTTATTTGAGTTAAGCTTTAAAGTAAAATATTTCAAACAATCAATTGATTTCGGCTTGTAGTGAATTCTTGAGAAAAATTCAGTGTACTCTTAAAATCGAAATGACATGGCTAAGGTGAAAAATGAATAGGCCATTTTGACTGTGGAAAAAAACGCATTCATGTCGATGCCAACTATTCCTCCAGCTTTAATTTTCACGGGGACAACCGTTAACTCCATCAATATTATCAAGGATCGGCTATATGACATATCCATTCCAATCCAGTTGCTCGAGAAAATGGCATATGGTAAATTGTCGAACTCCATTGACATAAGAGTTCCGTAGTAACAACTTGGAAATAGCTCTATAAACATGGCCGCAAAAAACACAGAATAGTAAGTCATGGTAAAATTGTTTTCCGCCAAAAATAGGATGTTGACAAGCGATATTGAAATGTTGATACCACTGGAAAGGAACTGAGCAAGTTGCGAGAGAAATAAAGTTCTGCGGAGTAGGCGAATTATTCTGGAAGATTATAAAAGAGAAACCATTTAAATTATCAATAATATGATATGGAAAAGCATTTACGAAATTAACTATGTATACATTGAATATATTGATTTTGTGTCAAGCGAAAGAAAATTATTTATTAATGAAATGTCATATCCAAGATTGTATAATTATAAAACGTTGGACCAAAAGACTTATTTTGACAGATAAATTTATATTTTTTATGTATATAAAATAACTTACTGCATTAGTTTCATTTGATCCTGAATGCCTTCGATAAGTTTTCTGGTATTCTCTGACCTTGATGTATTCTGATCGTGTCCAATTCGACTTAAACGCATTGCCAATAGTCTCACATGTCCAGTTACCACACAAAATGTGATTGGGGGATATATATCGTTGGCCAAGTTATGCAGGATCAATAAACTGGACCCTACAGCTTGATAGGTAAAACTAATCCAAAAGATAAATGCGGTGGCCTGAACATCATAGGGGAACCAACCCAAATACATTAAATTTCGACCACTACTGAATAAACCAGCGGCAGTTGCAGTAATTATAGCCAATATGCCAGCCACCAAATAACTTTTCGAAAGCATTTGGGCTTCGCGTTTTGTGCTTTGTTCAAAAAATGTAACTTCTTCTTCACTTTCAGCCCGCTTATCCAAATCCTTGAGCAATCTTTCAATGGCCTTAATCTCGCCCAGTTTCCAACGAAAGCAGATAAATTTCAAGCTGCAGAAAATGCATTCTGTTGTGAAATAGAGACTCCTGAAGATATTTGCCAGCTTCTGATTATATAGCCCAAGTAATAGATGCACTGGATACCATAAAGTGAAGAAGAAGCACATAGTAAAATCCAGAAGCCATCGGAACCGATATTCGCCCTCGACGCCCAAAAGTCGCAAATAGAGCCAATATGTTTTGTAGAGATTTTCACTTCTGACGACCTTAATGGTTGACTCCATATTTGTAATAGTTTACCAAGCTTTGCAGCCGATGCTGCTTTTATAGTTATTCTTTTATATTTTTACCTGACTGGGTAAGCGTAATTGCTGATACCATAATTAAATTTAATTGCTGCTAACAATTAAAATATGTGTGTATGGTAGGTTTATCTGTCAACCATTTCATCGGTGACAAAGCCTGTACCAGAACTTCTTTATTCGTCAGCAGAAAAGTGTTTCCAAAGTGTGAAAGTAAAGTCATTAAAATTTAATATTTTATAAAACCACTATATATCGATTGTGATGTGTTGTTGGTGGTTTGAATGCAAATGTGGTCAGAAATTCCCACGGAGGAATGCGAAAAATGAGAACTTTGTGGTATTACGCGACGTGGGGTGTTCATCTTTACCCATGTAAATCGGAACTAACTTGAGCTACCTAAGCTAAAACGTTCCAGACAGCATTGTTGGGACAGGGGGGAACTGGGGAGGGCGAAGGAACAAAAGAGCGAACGGGATGGAGACATCTGAAGAAACTGCCGTTCGATACAGCGGGCAGAAATTAAGCGAATACTTGGCGTGAACATGTGTATGTAAAAAAAATGTAATAATTTACAATAAAATGTTCATCGTTCCTGTGACAGATATAGTATATAGTCCACCAATGATTATAATATTTAAAATCGGTAAAACATCGGTAAAATTATCTATAAGCCCAGGATATCCGATTCGGTTTCGGATCCTTCCTAAAATACTATATAATTTATTCGACTGATTTATTTAAAATAAGTCTACAATTTATAATTTTATCAATGCTTTTATTGGCAAGTAGTATAATATTTGTTGAATAGGTATAAAAGATGTGACAATTTCCACTAAAGCACTAATTTTTTCACATCCCATCTTTCATTTCTCAACACAGAGAAGTCGATAGTAGCGGCAATAGCGGCTTACAACTGGCAAAGCCAATTCCATTTTTCCGACAGTAAGGAGCCACACAAAGCGGTTCTTGTTTTATAGCCAGTTTTTGTTCAATAAATTTAATTATGGTCTTCGACATGGGGGTAATTGTCGGCCTATAATTACACATAATTTGTGGCTAACAATTAACACCTGCCCTTTGTAACTAAATACAGAAAATGCCTGTAAGGGTCCCCATAACATGACAATTCGTTTGTGACTACGGACGGCAGTACACATAGTGATGGTGTGAACCGTGAAAGTGTTTAATGGCGATTGTTACATTAAGCCGCAGGTCTTACGCAGCTTGCTTCATTTCTTGTTTTAAGGTAAAATTATCTCATTTCATCAGATGATTCTTATAAATTCCTAACATTTACGTTTAGGAAATTCTTTAGCTTATTGAAAAAAACGTTGGTGATCGGAATGGATCATATACCGATGAAAAGGTATCGCCTTAACTAAGGGGAGTACATTTCAAGAACATAAGAAAAACAACTAGAAGTATTAAAAGTTTGAGCTTCAAAATAAAATTGTTCTCACACGTTATATACATTAAACGCAGCTTTAGTACACTTTTAAAATTTTTTAAACTCCCGTTTGGCGAGTTTCAGCGTAAGAAATGTAACTTATTGCATTTTGTATAATTAATAAATACTAATTTTGAAAGCATAAGTAAGTGTATTTTTATACCCTTGCAGAGGGTATTATAATTTCAGTCAAAAGTTTGCAACGCAGTGAAGGAGACATTTCCGACCCTATAAAGTATATATATTCTTGATCAGCATCACCAGGAGAGTCGATCTAGCCATGTCCGTCTGTCCGTCTGTCCGTCTGTCCGTCTGTCCGTCTGTCCGTCCGTCCGTCCGTTTCTACGCAAACTAGTCCCTCAGTTTTAAAGCTATCTGCTTGAAACTTTCTTAAAAGTTGTCTTTCTATTGCAGGTAGTATATAAGTCGGAACGAGCCGGATCGGGCCACTATATCATATAGCTGCCATATAACTGAACGATCGGAAAAGCCATAACGTTGGTGTTTTTAAAGTTAGGAAGTTGGGATTTTCTATGAGTTTTATTTTTGGCCAATCAATCCGACCTACCGAATTTCATAAGGATCGGACGACTATATCCTATAGCCGCCATATAACTGATTGATCGGAAATGCCATAACTTTGGTGTTTGTAAAGTTAGGAAGTTGGGATTTTCTATGGGTTTTATTTTTGGCCAATCAATCCGACCTATCAAATTTCATAAGGATCGGCCGTCTATATCCTATAGCTGCCATATAACTGAACGATTGGAAATGCCATAACTTTGGTGTTTTTAAAGTTAGGAAGTTGGGACTTTTTATGAGTATTAAGGATACAGCATATGAATAATTTTGAAGAATATAATTTACAGAATATTCTGCAAGGGTATATCAACTTCGGCTCCGTCCGAAGTTAGCTTTCCTTTCTTGTTTGTTATTAATTTTTTACTCTTTAATATAAACATGGAACCCTTACAATCTATAAGTACTTTAACAATGTAGCTAGCAAGTTCATAATCGACAAAAACAATTTATTATACCCTTGTTATACCCTTGCAGAGGGTATTATAATTTTGGTCAAAAGTGTGCAACGCAGTGAAGGAGACATCTCCGACCCTATAAAGTATATATATTCTTGATCAGGATCACCTCCTGAGTTGATATAGCCATGTCCGTCTGTCCGTCTGTCTGTCCGTCTGTCCGTCTGTCTGTTTCTACGCGAACTAGTCTCTCAGTTTTAAAGATATCGAATTGAAACTTTGCACACACCCTTCTTTCCTTTGCACGCAGTATATAAGTCGGAACGGCCGGGATCGGCCGACTATATCCTATAGCTGCCATATAACTGATTGATCGGAAATGCCATAACTCTGCTGTTTGTTAAGTTAGGAAATTGGGACTCTCTATGGGTATTATATTTGGCCAATCAATCCAACATACCAAATTTCATAAGGATCGGCCGACTATATCCTATAGCTGCTATATAACTGATTGATCGGAAATGCCATAACTTTGGTGTTTGTAAAGTTGGGAAGTTGGGATTTTCTATGGGTTTTATATTTGGCCAATTAATCCGACCTACCAAATTTCATAAGGATCGGCCGACTATATCTTATAGCTGCCATATAACTGATTGATCGGAAATGCCATAACTTTAGTGTTTGTTAAGTTAGGAAGTTGGAATTTTCTATGGGTATTATTTTTGCCCAATCAATCCGACATATCAAATTTCATAAGGATCGGCCGACTATATTCTATAGCTGCCATATACATAACTGAACGATTGGAAATGCCATAACTTTGGTGTTTTTAAAGTTAGGAAGTTGGGATTTTTTATGAGTATTAGGAATGCATCATATGAATAATTTTGGAGAATATAATTTGCAGAATATTCTGCAAGGGTATTTCAACTTCGGCTCCGCCCGAAGTTAGCTTTCCTTTCTTGTTTAAAATAAGTTACTCAGGACTAGATACATTTTTAGCCATCCTTAGTGAAATGGATTCAAATAAATAACCCTTTTTATACCCTTGCAGAGGGTATTATAATTTTGGTCAAAAGTGTGCAACGCAGTGAAGGAGACATCTCGGACCCTATAAAGTATATATATTCTTGATCAGGATCAGCTCCTGAGTTGATATAAGCATGTCCGTCTGTCCGTCTGTCCGTTTGTCCGTCTGTCCGTCTGTCTGTCCGTCTGTCTGTTTCTACGCGAACTAGTCTCTCAGTTTTAAAGATATCGAATTGAAACTTTGCACACACCCTTCTTTCCTTTGCACGCAGTATATATTTTGGAACGGCCGGGATCGGCCGACTATATCCTATAGCTGCCATATAACTGATTGATCGGAAATGCCATAACTTTGGTGTTTGTAAAGTTAGGAAGCTGGGATTTACTATTGGTTTTATATTTGGACAATCAATCCGACCTACCAAATTTCATATGGATCGGCCGACTATATCCTATAGCTGCCATATAACTGAACGATTGGAAATGCCATAACTTTGGTGTTTTTAAAGTTAGGAAGTTGGGATTTTTTATGAGTATTAAGAATGCATCATATGAATAATTTTGGAGAATATAATTTACAGAGTATTCTGCAAGGGTATATCAACTTCGGCTCCGCCCGAAGTTAGCTTTCCTTTCTTGTTTAAAATCAGCTGGCTGTTGATTTTATTAAATTTATTTATCAGTTGAGGAATCTCAAGCGCTATTTACTTAAAAATTGGTTAAGAAAATTTGACAAATTTGCCAAAAAGACCAAGCTATGTAAAAGCAGCGTGACTGGCATTTCAAAAGACGTTTGTTACGAGTCCCAAAATAAGTAAAATTAGTCACTTTTTCACATTCACCGCCCTTTCTCCTGAACCAACTCATTTTCGTAAGGCTGGTATGTATCTTTCGATTAGTGCATTACTCGTTGCGATCGGACTATCACATCAGATGACTTCATAAAATTTGTGGAGGAATTTTGCAAAATGCAGTCAAAAAGTCAAGCAAAAGTTGCCTTTTCATCGAGTTGCAATTGCACGGACTAAGTTGCTATAAATTGACATTAAAATCTTGTAGATGCTGCTACTTGCAAATAAGAAAAGGAACCAGGGGCAAGTTGCTGTAAAAATTACATCTTTTAGCTCGTTTAATGTGTTGGATACTAAAATGTTTTATGACCGACTACGAGGACTTCTGTACGCAAATTTTTATACAAGAAAGCTTCTCGAAAACGTGGGCTTAGTTAACAATGTCTTTCATAACTCTTCAAAATACTGTGTCAAGGCATTTTCCAGCAATTTGGTGTTTGTGCACGTACATCTACAATACTCCAAGAACTTCCACCATTTTTTGTTAGCTTTTTGGCAGTACTTTTTCAGCCGATAAAGCCAGTCAAGGCTAGAGACGAAAAATTTGACTTTTTTGTTCAAGCTAACGTTGCGTATACGTAATGCCAGAATGAACAACCATGAGAATAGCAGAAGAAAGGCGACCACAAAACACTGTTCGAAAAAACTCCAGTCGCAAAATTCTTATTAAAGAGC